AAAATCCCCCCTCTGTGTGAAAAAAAAAAAAAAAAAAAAAAAAAAAAAAAATAGGACAGAGGCTCCATACAGCAAACTATGTATTCCCCTCTCCTCTCAACACAACACATGGTTGACATGAGTCTGCTTCAAATGACCTGCTCCCACAGGCATACTCAGCATGAGGGACAATTCCCAACACAGTCAATAAAGCATATTAGATTGTAAGCTAACGAAAATTGTTATAAATATAGGAACCCAAACTGAGCCCACTCAGATTTCTTTATTTTTTAAAAAGTGACTAGTTCTTAAACTTTGGTACTTTCACTATTTTTCCTAACAAATTATTTGTTACTTAAACCTGAAAACTAGTGGTTTTGTGTTACAACATTACGAGTTAAAACTTATTTCAAAGACAATCTAAGCTGTTACTGTACATTCATTATTATACTGAAGACTAATGTTTTACAGAAACAAACATGTTCATACTTACTTCAAAGATATCTTTACTTTGGGTTTAAAATAGGGTGCATTCTGGTCTGCCAAAAAGACGATTAAATCATTTCCTAAGAGAATCAAATATACAATATTAGAAAAAATGTTTCCTACCAAGAGAATCAGTGATTACAAGAATTCTGGGTACTGCTCTCAACAAGAACACTTTTAGTCTATTCCAGCTCATCTGCCCTCTCAGGACAGTTCTTCTGGTCTAGTGGAATAGGGACACTGAACAGTGTATCACAAGATCAATGGTAAAGGCAGCAGAGAAGTACAGGAAGAATGAACATGGAAAAATATTGTTGATCAAGACAAATTGAAGCCAATGGATGATGCTAGGAATCAGATTGGTTGACTTAAAAGAACCACACAAAGAAAATAATAACCATACTATATGTCAAGCCTTATTTTCACCAAACCTAACAATGCCGTCCCCTAATAAATGGTTTAAGTTCATCGCACAGATGCATCACACCAAGGATGCAGCAACTCTCCCTATAAGAAAAGGACAAAACATGATTAAACACATAAGAAAAAGCAGAATCCTACAATACCCGGTTCCACTATTGGAGCTCAATCAGCACTCATTGGAACAGACTTTTGAAACTGTTTCATCAAACACAAGCCATCTTTTAAGTCAAGGAGAGTTTCAGTGTTCAGTTTAAATAGCCTAGTTATAGGTTTGGCAGATGTGTGGCCTTCTTCAAGTGTGGGTGAGGATCCTTTCAGTCAAGCTTTGTGTCAACTTTCACTACCTTCCTTTATGGCTGTGACCTTTAACAGCACCAGCTTCTGTGGGCATAAGCCAACACTAAGACTCACTAAATGCTCATTCTCAGCATTAAGATCTACTAAGAAAAATTAATTTAGCAATGTTGAAGCAAAGAATTTCCAAGAACCATAAGTTGACAAAGCAGATATTTGGAAGACTAAGATGGTGACCAAGTTAAAGAAGGGTCAAATGTACACAAAAGACTAGGCAGCTCAGGAGGGAAAAGTCTGCAATATAAGAAAACTTCTCCAAGGAGGCGCTGGGTTTACTGTGGTCCCTGCAAAATGCTTGTGTGGGCTGTGGAATGCTTAGAACCCTGGTGGGATACAGTCTCTTCAAGGAAAGCTGAGACCCTGACGATGGGAGAGGAGGGTTAATTCGGTAAATGATGGGACAGAGAGGGTCTCCTAGGAGAAGAAACTGTCAAGATGCATCTTTTCCTGATCATGAAGGGGAAGGAAGACTGAAGTAAAGCAGAAAGGAATGAAGGGGCCTTGGGAGCGAAGAGACAAGTTACAGACTCCTGGGGATCCAGAATGACTTTGGAAAGCAGGTGATTCCATGGGGAGAGGTACATGTGTGAAGGCCGCACGTTTCCCAGGGAAAAAAAGAAACAAGTGTTTCCAGGGCATTAGGGGGCAGGTTAAACTGGGGTGGACCGGTCGGGACCTGAGGTTGGAAAAGATGGAGAAAAAGGGCAAGCTGTCAAGAATGTCGGAGCTAGAGGGAGGGTCACAGGGCTGAGAGAGAATGACCAGGAAATGCAGGAGGCTCTGCCATCGGGGTAGGGGGTGTGGGAACACCGGGAGGGGCACACGGACAGCGGACAGAGGAAGGGCCCGGCAAGCACTGACTTTCCCGCAGCACGAAGAGGTCCGTCTGCTTGTCGGAGTTGAGATCCCCGAAGGCCGCCAGGGTGCCCCAGGCCTCGGCCCCAAAGAGCTCGGCCGTGACGTTGTGCAGCGCCCGCGCCGGGACCGGCCCGACTCCTAGCAGCGCGAGCCCCCCAAGGAGCGGCGACAGCAGCGCCCAGATCCTCGGCAGCCGGCCCGC